AGCTGTCGACTGCCTGACTGATTGGGCTGCCAGCTAAGCTTTGAGGCTGGGATGAGTACGAACACACAGACACACACAAACGGACACATACACACAGACACATACACGAATGAACACACACATGCCTGTACAGACACACTGAGAGAGACATACACAAGACACACTCTCTCTCTCTGATACACAGACATGGCGGGTCCTCCTGTGAATGTCAGCGATGTTAACAAAGAGTGGAGGGGCATTAAAGGAGGATCATGCCCAAAGCTGCAGTTTCTATTTATAACCGGGTGGTCCTGGCTGCGGAGGGGCAGCTAATCTAACTCTGATTACAGAGGGGCCGGCCTGACCCAGGATGGGATGGGGATAACTTTCTTTATCTATGTCTTTGTATCAGACATTTGTATTTCTGACAGACAGAGACATACTTCACTCACTTATTTTGATTACAGATGGGCAAGTGTGCACTGTGAATGGGCATTAATAAATATTAATATGAACTGAAAAGTACAATAGTTTGTTTGAGGAAAAAAAGAAGACTTGATGCATCACTCGCAGGGTCACATTTATTAAGTGCTGACAGGAGTGTGGATGGAGACTCAGATGTGAGACAGGAATATGAAGTCTAATCCTCATGAAACATCCATGAGTCATAGCCTTAGCTAAAACATGAACACTGTGTGTGGTGTGTGTGTGTATTTTCGTAGATAAGAAGGGGACTGGCTGTGCAAACAGAACAAGGTCAGCATTGACCTTGCCTCAGCTTCCTGTTTCCCCTGTAATGCCTGAGATTAGTGCTCTGAATATAGACGGTGAACCTAGACCATCTCGAGGACACTTTATCCCAAAGTTCTTGCATCAGCCTTCTTAAAACAGTCAGCATTTGACAGTTTAAAGGTGGGGATATACTCGAAATTAACTAATTTTGACAACCTGTTGTCATAGAAAAGACACAAGAATCTTACAAATAGGGGATGATTTCCTTGACAGCATTCATGGTGTAGCACTCGGTTGTACACACAAAAAGTGAAGCATTTGTGTAACAAATAAAAAACGAGAGCTAGAGAGAGAAATGCCTCCACTCTCTACTCTATACACCTGGAAGAGGTGCTTCCCCCTTCATCCCAGAAGAAATCTCATGAGTAAAGCCTGGAATACACTTTGGAGCGGATGCGTACACGGACAGCTGCGGACACCACTACTTCTGGTTATACTACTTTCTGGAGTCAGCTTGGCAGACTTGTTCCACACATGCGCGGTAGATCGGTTGATGCCCAGGTAGCATAGTGGGCCACAAAAAATGGAAGGCACACGGATGTCCGCACAGAAACCATGCGTACCCCCCTGATGACGTTTTTTTCCTCATGCGTACCCTAGCGGTCCCTCGCGTACTTGTGGCGCAGAAAGTATAACACTTGCTTAAGATTCAATACATTTCCATCAGTAGCTTGTTATTAACCCTCCTTTCTTGCATGGTTCATGATTAAACAAAAATAAAATAAAATAAAAAACACCAAAAATGTTTTCTGTATGATACTTTATATGATTATTAAGGTTATTACACAACACAAGGTACCAGGAACTGCAGCAGGAAACAAGGCACTATGAAATTGAATCTTGTTCAGCCTGTATCCTGTCAGTGGTGCAAGAGGCCCTTGATTTGATGACTACCTCCTGCCCCTCCCAAACTAACCAACTGAGACAGATGACATGCTTACTGCTGCAGCTCTTTGACCCTGGCCAAGAAGTATTGATTTTCCTCTAAATGTGATGAGGGGGGAAGGAAGAAAGACAGAGACAGCAAGTGAGAGGAGGAGAGGAAGAAGAGGCGTGAGCGAGAGAGACAGAAGAAGTCCATCAGCAGTTTGAAGAGAGTTATGGCTCAACAGCATGATTGTATAGTACATGTGTGAAGACCTAAAGACCATAGCTCGGGTCCATGTGTGAGAGTGAAGGATGTAATGACGGAGGGAGAAAGGAGTGTTGGGTGTAATAGAGGGAGGGAAGGACTTAGGTAAGAGGAGAGGAAGGGCTCCATGTCTGTGAAAGACACAGGGTCGTGTCCTGTGGTGTGTGGAGGGGATGGACAGATGGATGAAGGAAAATAATAGACACACCAGCATTTGCTCAGAAGTATGGAAAGGCTCTTTGCAAGCAATTATGCCTAACACTTTTATAGTTTCAGTTGGATTTACGCACTAAAAGCTCTCAAACCTGTGTCTAACTGCCAAAATCCAGATGATAGAGACCGGATTGAGTTGATAAAAATGTTTATACACCCATCTACTGTACCACGCACTCACTGCAATACGCTTTACGAGCAATACCTTCACCCTCTTCACTTCCAAGCCTCCCCCAGGTAGTTGGGGTTATGGTTTGTTTGCACACATTGAACACACTTTTTTCATGACTGATCTTACCGCCCAACATATCTTATTTTAGCTCAACATTACAGTAATTTACATCTTTCAAACCATTATTTTTGTGTGACGTCCGTTTTTGTCACTTACTCTAGGCCAGTTTGTGAAAGCCCTGATTTAGTAAAGTTGTCAATACAACATTTTCTGTCGTACAGTATCGATCAGCTAAACAGATTTTTTGTTTATGTAGAGTTTGTGAATTAATGCTACAGAAATTTAAATAGTATTTCTAATTCTTTTGTTGGATTAAACTTATTATTGGAGCATGATTGTTAGTATCTTCACCATTTGTTTGACATATTTCTTATTTTGGGTTGTTTTTGTTCTCTCTTACATCTCTACTATCCAAATTCTTTATATGGTTTGACATCGCTGCTGTAATATGAATATAACATTTGTCTTACATTTACCCCTATGTCCTTCTGTTATGCTTCGCCACACACACTCCTCCCTCTACGTGCTTATATCCAACATGAGCCAGTGACATTCATCCTTCCTAACCTTTGCTCATTCTCTCAGCCCTACAGTACATTTTCTCCACTCTCATATTCTCTCCATCTCTCTTAACTCCTCTCTGTTCATCCCATCTCTTGTATTATCTTGAGTAACCTTACCCAGTGCTCTTCCCTAACAGCAAGATTTATGCTTCAATCAGATAACAGGTCGCAGTGGAGAGTGTCAGGAATAATAACAGAGAGAAAAAGTGACAGAGAAAAACGATAATGTACAAAAAATCACGAGGCAAACACTAAAACCCCGGCGTCTTGGGGAAAAGGCCTTAAAATACCAACTACTCTGTGCTGCTTCATTGGGTTTTTTCTGGGCAGTGCTGCTCTGCTTGGCCACATCCCCTCATAAGGGAGAAAAGCAGACCCTAATCCTCTACCCTCTTATGGGGAGAGAACTGATCCAAGTTCAACTGATAAAAGGCTTAACAGAAATATCCTTCAGCAACCACCGTTGTTATACACCGCACAAGTATGGCTACCCCTACATCTTTTCTCCAACCTGACAATGCCTCCTGAAACAACACATATGAGTGTTTCCCGTACCAGTCTAGCAACACACGACCAAACCTTAACTACGGTACATACATTAAACATGTGGTTAACGTTGTAAAACTGTTGCAGTTTGGTTAGGTTTAGGCAAGAAAACTACTTAGTTAGGTTTAGGAAAACATTGTGCTCTGGGTTAAAGTTAGTACGTTACGTAAGTCACCTGACATAAATCACATGACATAAGTCAGTAACGCTATTTAACTTAAAACTCAAAATAACTCAACATTTACATGTTTTCACATGGGACTTGAATGCCATTCTCCTTTATGAAAGTCTTGGGTCTCACCCATCAATCCAGCTCGTTACATGGACTTTCTCAGTATTTATAATACGTCAACAGACTTCCTCCTTTTCTACCATTTAGCCACAATAAGCATAGAAATGGGTCGTAATAACAATGTAATATAGTGCTAATAAAAGGGTAAATAGACAATGTTAAATTAATTGATTTTATTTAATTTCTAGCTTGACCTAAAGTCTTTTAACCTCAGAGTGAAGTTGAAACATGTAAATGTGTCTATAGGCAAGCATACAGTTCACCATAAATTCGGAATAAAGTTGATAATATAAATAACAATACTGTATAAATAAATGAATAAAGAATTAATATTTATTTGGGTTAAATGAAGCTTTTCTTTTACAGAAAATCAATTTTCACTGCAATTTGTAGCAAATTACACAGTTCTTTCCTGGAAACATTTTCAGGAATTCACTAGGAAATTATTAGGAAATAAAACGTGAAATGTGAAATTAAAAGATTTAAAAAAAAAGAATCGCTGCCATCCTTCTAATGTGATAAAAATGATAAATGTGACTGGAGGATGTAGTCTATTGCTCAGAGATCTTAGTTTTACAAATAATCAAAATGAAGATTAAAATGTGGAAGAAGCTGTGAAATAATGCTTAAAAATAGGGAAAAAAACATAATAGACAAGGGCAATTATGCATACACACTCACACACACTGTATATACAGAGTTCCCTTTTAAATTGCAGCTTGTCTGGCTAAGCATATATGTGCTCAACTTTCATCTTTGTAACCACTGACCATTCACACACATGTAGTTTTTAATGAACAAAAAAATGCCTACATGTTCACATAGTAGCATACAAGGATTTGAACAGAGACAAACCCCTTGGAGCAGAACAAATAACTTCTAATTTAGTTTTCATTAATAATAACACAAGTTGGGTCTGTGGCTCTGGTTCCACGAGGTCACAAAGTGTACATACCTCTGTAAAACACACACAAAGGCAGACACAAAGACACACAGACACCCACAGGCATGGTGGTAAACTCAGTGAGGATCATGGGAAGGGTATTTTTAGCACGCTGCAATTGGCGTCTCCAGGGAGACAAGACTGATGGAGGGATGGGAACATCAGCTGCTCAATTAACGCTTTCTGTCGGAGGCTTGTGCATGTGCTTCTTCCTACACAAGGGAGACTCCATGTGACTTTCCAGAGGTCTGTGTTTGAGGGACGTGTGTGTGTCTGCTTGTGTGTGTATAGAGAAAGTAACATCCTACCATTGTCTGTAGCCGTCTCTTCGTATTCGTTGGTGGAGGGCAGTGCCGGTACCAGCGGTTCCATGTTCATGATGAGGTTTTTATGGCTCAGAGAGTTAAAACTTCGACTCTGACCAAACTGGGCTCTGAAAACACAAACATCGACTACTCTGACTGCTTTGTGTGTTACGTTGAGATGTGTAAATTCTCGCATAATGAAAGCACGTCTCCTCCAGATGCTGCTCTACTTTCCTTGAGCTCTATAAACATGTGAATTTGATCTTTCCTTATAATATTCCGTATTACTGTACATAAGCAGGCAATAACCACATTTTTAATAACTGTTTCTAACTGTGTGAGAGAGTGCAGGTGATCTGTCAGTTGTCCTTACCTGCGCACCTCTGGTGGCTCTCTCTGAATCTTAGAGCTGGCTTCAATCACCTCCTTGGCAACTCTTCCGCTAACAGGAAGAAACACATATTCATAGCAAGGAAGACAAAGAAAAATTACTGTAAATGATCGTTTTCCATGTTCCATTTTTTAAAAACTAATAACTACAAATAGCTCTACTAAATAAAATAAAAATTAGAACAGCGGCAAAATCATTTTTTAAAGCATAGACTGAAGCAAAGGTCACAAAAAGTGGTTAACAAGTAACATTGACAGGACATCACTATGCATAGAAGCCAGAGATGGGGACTCAAAAGACTTCAGACTTGACACGGACTTGAGGTGCGGGACTTATGAACAATCTTTATTTTTAGGAAACGTCTGATGAGCTTGCTGTTATTCCCTTCTCTCCGTTACTTATAAGCTGCCTACGTAACACAACTACGTATGTGCTGCGCTGGACCACACGTGAGAGAGGACAACAAACACCAGTGTCAGCATCTGCGCCATTCATCATAAACTTTGGCTTTGAAACTTCATACAACAAGGCCCAAACAAAGAAGCGCTGAACGCAAAATAGGTTAGTAACCTGAGGTTAGATAACATGTTTAGCTCAGCATTGGTCATCTAACATTAGCTTGCTTCTTGCTTTAGCCACGACCTGCCGGAGGTTACCTTTGACTTTCGTTCATTATGAAAAGATGAATGAGGGTTTGTTTACTTGCCAAACATGTGGTGGTCGACTAACGTAATCATTTACATCCTGCTGGCTGCCATTACAATAATTATTACCATTGGCTGCAAACAGGTTAGAGGTTTATTGTTGTTCATGCAACGTTACAGTTTTATTTAAGTTATAACGTTACACTGGTTTGACAGTCTGGTGTTGACTTACAGTAGTTTAAACTGTCATTAGTTGTAGACACGTTGTACATTAGGCTACATGGTTGTGCTCTGTAAATGAAAAACAGGTTACAGGTTTATTGTTGATCATGTAACGTTACACTGGGTTTGAGAGTCTGGGGAATGTGTTGACTTATAGTAGTTAATAAGCTGTCATTAATTGCATTGCACATAATGTGGTTGTGCTCTGTAAGTGAAAAACAGGTTACAGTCACAGAATCCCTTATAGTTATGCAGTTTTCTAAGCAGCCTGGATTGAACGCAGCAGGTGATACAACACTCATTATAACTACGAGTGAGTTAAGACTTGACTTGGACTCTAGCTCAAAGACTTCTGAGCATCTCTGATAGAAGCAAATCTATAAAAGTCTATCTATTCTTGTTTTAAATGGACATAAATGTACTTGAACTCAAGCTCATACTGTATTAAAACAACTTTTGCCAAAACCATATGTGTGTTAAAACCTTGATCTCAACTGTTAAATTTAAATTAAGTCTGACTGACAGGATGACGTCAGAAGAGAAACTTTTGTGATTTTTCGTCTGTGTTTTGCAATTGTTTCTCATAATCAGTGTTGTTTTGTGCTGCTGAGCAGGCAGTTTCCTGCCAAAAGCGGTCGGTTGCTCCATTAGTCTGATTGTTGTGCGACTGAAGTTTCTGGACTCTGACCACTCCGTTTCAATCCAGCAGGCTCCACCAGCCCAGCCATTTGTCTATTGTTGCTGAGATTGATGGTTAGGTTGTAAATCAGAGGGTAAAATGAAACATCTGTGGTGGAAGTACTACAAGCCGTCAAAGTATGTTGGAAAATGCTGTATGACGAAGAGAAATCAGCTGGTCTACCACAAGTTTGATGAAGATCTGTTCTGCTTTATGAAAATTGCCTTCGTTTGTGGACTACAAATCTCCTTTCTGCATGCATTTGCACAAATGACCAATTCCCATCCCATATTTCAGAACAAACTCCAACATATGCTATTACTCATCATTGAGCCCTTAAGCCAAAACCTGCTTTAGCTAGCTGATGAAATGGCGCGGACTGCAGTGTAAGCCTGATAAAGAGCTTTGTCTGAGAGGAGAATCGAGGCTAACATGGCTTTAATAACAGGGTTTTATAGACGCTGTCCTGTGATATTAGAGTCAGTAAATCAAAGAGACCAACGGCAAGATGGATGTAGGTGCTGATGTACAAAGAGGAGATGCAGCATGTTGATGGGCTTAATGTAAATCAGCACGTGTAGTATGTAAATTTCTCAGGTTGGTGCAAGGTCACTGTGATTCAGGAGCTATTGTAGTTGTCATACTTACTGGCTGAAATCAATGACTGTATCTACAGTAATCTACAGTACAAGTATAATCGCAAAGTAGAGTGATGGAGTAGTTGAGTGTTGACCTGCTGCTGAACTATAGGTGGCGTTGGTCTCTTTGATCCACTGGCTACCTGTGGCCTCCCGAATGAAATTCAAATCACTAATGCTGCATACAGAGTGACTACTGTGTCTGCACCAATCTACCTAAACTTCATAATATAAGCTTATGTTCCTTCTCGGCCACTGTGCTCCTCCAACGAACGCTGCCACAAAACAATCTCAGTCCCGGCTATTTTTATATCTGTGACACCACGATGGTGGAACGAGCTACCACATGCCATCAGATCAGGAGCGTCCCTCTCTAACTTCAAGAATCTCTTGAAAACTCATCTCTTCCGAGAACACTTTCTCTTATAACACCCCTAACTTCTACTCTCTATCATGCACTTCCTGTGCTATTCTTCTTTTATCCCCATTACAATAGCTCTTAGTATTTATTGCTGCCCTTACTAGAATGTATTGTTAGTTACAGATCTTGTGCTGCATTTGATGCTTTGATGATGCCTGTATGTTGTTCAAATGTATGTCGTTTTGGATAAAAGCATTTACCAAATGAGTAAATGTAAATGAATATGCCTTTTAAAATCTTTCAAGTGGTTGAATCTGACTGTCTTTGTATCTTCTCTTTGTATCTTCTCCTACTGTCATGGGTTGTCATTGTCATTGGCTGCATGACTTTCTCTCGTGTGTTTTACAACTCTCTTCACACATATAGATCCTGTTCTCATTCTTTTAACACTACTACTACACATCGATTACAGTCAAAATTCTGTCATTGTATTGTTTGTAAAAAAAGAACTTGAACACTGTCTCACCTGTATCTGAACCTGCTGCCTTTGAAGAAGATGTTGCTGCTAGAAACTGTCTTTATCTGACTTGACTTCGCACACCTGTCAGCGAGAGGGAGGAAGAAACAAAAAGAGGCGCAAACAAAGAAATTTCATTACTGAGCATCTGAGGAACAAAACTAAGCAACTCATTCTTTTAAAAACATTCACATGGGTTTATGTTTGTAACATTAACCCTCACAGTACCAAAATACATCTACCGTATTCTTTTAGGTAATGTCCCAACAGTGAGTGACTGCCAGTGAGTTACAGACTAGCCTCTTAGTAAGCAGAAGAGGAAGGTGTTTCAAGGTGTACCAAGTTTATGCTGTAGGTCAAACCTTCATGTTTGGTTCAGGATCATTTACCATGCGAAACCAAACTCCAGAGCAGCAGAGATAGAGATAGAGAGAGACACAGAGAGAGAGAGAGATCAAGAGAGAGAGGTCATATGTTCTCATAGCTCTGCTTGGCTGCCATTTACAAACTCAATTCACTCTGATTTGATTAAGCTGCTCTGATGCTTGTCTGACATCCGAGATGACATCAATTCCCTGTCTGTCCGCCTCTCAGAGACACATGAGCTGCTGTCATTAAGAGTTCCATATCCGGGGTTATACAGGCTAAGGGCTATTATCAGAAAGCTTTTATAACACCGTCTTCCTTTTGTAAGCTTTCTTAGATGTTATGTAATTTAAACAAGAAGACACAAGACCTGGCTCCTTGTAGCGGCAAATAAAAGAGTATATACAGCAAATATAGCAAAATTAAGAAAATCATCATTAAAGAAAGTATGAGTGAATAGTGTGAGAAAATAAAGGCTGCAGTAAAGAGGGTGGGGTGGACCTTCAGAGTGATTGACTATGGAGGAGGAAGGGCACCATGACGAAATCACAAATCAGCCTCCTGAGTCAAACCTCTGGAAGATCTCGTCTCCTCCAACCTCACTCCTCTACATTGCTTCTGACAAGCTGTTTACAGCCAGTGGTCCTTCTCATCCTGTTCCACACCTTCGGCGCACTTCACTTCTCTCCCAGGTGTGTGTTATCTCATTATCTCAATCTTCCTTTGGACTCCAATGCGTTCCTCTCAGGTTTTAAATCCATTTATAGTCCAGGGTGTTTTTTTCGTGGGAACTGTGTCCACAGATGTGATTTTCCTAGACTCCTGAGGATACACTTTTAAAGTGAGAAAAGAGACCCCTGAAAACGAGATCTGCCAAAACGATCTCACCACGTCCACTCAAGGTCCACGCTGTTCTAGAGCTTTTGTTTGTATCACACAATCTTTTCAGCAGTTTCCAAATGATGTTTAAATTTTCATTTTTCTGTTTCAACTGTTTTCTACAATTGATTGGTCTATAAAACATAAGTAAACTGTGAAAAGTTTACCAGATTCCAAGGTCACGGCATAAAATGTCCAAAACCAAAGTATACCATTTACTATAATGAAAGCAGCATTTGATAAGCTGGAACTAGATAATCTTTAACATTTTTGCTTGGCAATTGAAATAAACTACTAATTGATTATCAAAATTGTTGAGCAAATAATCGTTTCAGCTCAGCTGTTTGGCTTAAAGATCTAGACTGTAAGTTCAGACTTGACTGCATTGACAAAACAATATACAGTATAAGGGATCTGTGGCGTTGTGATCTGATCTCTCAAGGTGGTTAGAGGAGAAGGAGTTAATGTCTTGTGCAACTGAGAACACAAGGAATGTGATCAGAAGACAACTTACTCTACTGATGTGACTAACTGCTAGTGCAAACAAATTGCTTTGCTGATATTCCCTCTCAGCCTTGAACGACGATTATTCATTTTAGTTTGCTGGCAACCCTGCATTCCCCATGACCCCAGACAAATTTCTCTCTCTTTCTCCTTCACCCGGAGCTTGTTTCCATTCCTGACACTCCGGCAGTGTCACTAGTGAGTCAATATTCAGAGTGACGGCCTCGGAGCAATCAGCTGCTCCCCAGTGAAGGACAGCAGTATATTGTAGCAGAGCTACAGAAAGCCAGGAAAATAAGGTGAATATAAAGATGATGTGCTGAACAGGAAAGCAAATTTTAGTTTTTGGAGAGTGTTTAGCACTCTCCAAAAACTAAAAGGGACAAAGGAAAATGAGACAGGTATTAAACTATCTTAAAATGTAAAATCATATACATATAAAAATATTTAAGAACTGCTGCAACAGTCACCATCTAGATCAGTGCCATCTTGGTTAAAGATTTATAATGAATGATAATTCAAAATTTCGTTGTCTAGTTCCTTAACACCAACTGTGGGAATGGTAAGTATCTTATTAGCTACAAATTCATATATTACCTTCAAATATTAAGTATAAATTTTGTGGTGTCTCGGAGGTCATGAGCAGCTCAATACATTTACGGGATATACGTGTGTGCGTGTGTGTGTTTCATGTTTTATATCCCGGTGTGGACCTGAATGCACACCAAGTGGGACTCTCGTGTCACCATGGGGACAAAAATTTAGGTCCCCATGGGTAGAGACTGCTTTTGGAGGGTTAAGACTTGGTTTTATGGTTCAGATTACAATAAGGTTAAGGTTGTGGGTAGGGTAAGGGGCTAGAGAACGCACTATGTCAATGAGATGTCCCCATAGGGATAGTGGAACAAACATGTGTGTGTGAGTGTGTGACGCACTTGTAAAAGGCTTGGTTCTCCACCCCACACTTCCATAAGTGCTTACACGCTGCAGGGGTTGAAGTGTGAAATGTCAACACCAGTTTCTTCTGCACAGAAAAGGACAAAGACAGAGATAAAGAGAGAGAGAAAGGCAGTGAGGAACAGAAATGAGATTACCAAAAGATGTGTGAATAAGGACAAGAGAAGTGCTGAACACGATGAGAGGGAGCTGTGCAAAATGCTGACCCACAGACCCAAAGCTGTAAGCTTAGCAAGATGTAAGACAGATATAGTGATTTGCCCACGGCGTTAAGCAGTAAAAAGGGCTTGTAGCTTGCAGACCATGGGTCTTTATGGACTAGGAGGAGAGATATATTCCTGTAAAGTTTTCAGTCCTGCATGTCTGGTAATGTGAGACACCAGATCAATGCTGCTCTACAACAAGGGCGGAGGGTGAGTGAGAGACCGTGAGAGGAAACACTGAGATCAATAAAATGGGAGTGAGTTACTGTAAAACAGTAACAACCATTGTACTCCCTACCTATATATTTTATTTTAAAAAAGATAAATGAAAAGACAAAAAATTGAGACCTTGATTCATTCATTAACTGGTCTAGAAAACACACGCAGTTTACATCTATGCACTGATCCAGTTTGTTCACTTTCCTAAAGTCAGCTCTATTGCTCAACCCCCTCAGTGTCACACATCAGTATGTAGTTGTGATTAACACACATGTGCTGCAGTGACCATGTGTGTGAGAGTACCTGAACTGCATGTTAAAATATTATTAACAAATTGTCTTTGGTCCCACTTTGGCTGACGTGATATTTTATGTTGCTAAATTTAACTTGCTTCCCACGTACTAAGGTATTACACAGACTGTCTACAAGTACCAACAGAAATTATGGAAAGAACTTTTCAGCTTTCAGTTTCCAATACCTCCGCCAATGGTATACACTAATTTGCTCACTAGTTTTCAACTGCTATCCCTGGTGTAATGTTAAAACCATTTAAATCAACCAAGTCCAGTTGCCCTTCACTTTAACCTTCTTTGGATAACATTTAAATGAACCATTAAGTATGTTTTCTTCTAAGATGGGGTCAATAGATAAGTAAAGAATATGATAAAATGGATAAATTGCTGTTTAAGGGACACTTTACTGTACAGTGTTGCAGCAATAAAGTCTTGAAAAGTTGCCATCAGCTCAAAGTGGGACAGTTAGGTTAATGTGTTCCAGGTGAAATAACAGAGGTGAGGGCAAAGTGTGAAATCATGCAGCTTATTTTGATAATGAGGCTATGGGGAATAGTAGGACAGGGATTGAAATTTCAACCATAGAACTGAATATTTTTATTGACAAAGACTCAAAATAACTGTTTGCACACATGAGCTAAAATAACAGACAATAAATAAACAAATTGAACGAACAAACAATGCAGACAACTTTTGTGTAAAACGATATTAAACTAAATGACACACAACAACACTGAACAACCAAATAATGAGCACAGTAAAAAGATGAAAAAGGTTCCTCCAATCAGAAAGTGAGGCGAGAGCAGGACTGTGGGGAGAGGCATCAAATTGAGGATTTAAGTACAACAATGTTTTGTGCTGCTGTTATTACTTGTATTTACTCACCAGTGATGACTATGTTTACACACAGAGAGAAGAGACAGAAACACAAAGATAAAACTGCATCTTCAGCCATTCATGAGTTGCCAAACACACAGACTGACAAGTTAAGCAGAGATGAGAGAGCTTCTGTAATGAAGAGAATAGTTACGAGACTGATCATCTCGGATGTCTGACTGACTGAATGATTGGCTGATTGGTAGATTAAAGAGCAACCTGACTTTGACTACAGTAATGCCATTTTCAAGTATTTTTAAGGCAACTCTGACTGAATCGATATAGGTAAATGTGTGTCAAACAACAATTTCAGACACAAGCTTTCAGTCTTGCAATATGAAGGTGGTATGCACACATAAATATTGGGCATAATCCACCAAAATCGCCGCTCAGAATCTACCACAGCTCCGGACTGGATGACAGACATCGAGCGTACAGATGAAATATGTGTTCCAAATGCAAGACACCAGTTCTAGTTGTAATTTAACACGTTTTAAGTCAGTATTTGCTGTCTGTGTCCGTTTCAAGCAGAGATGTCATGTAATTTATGTTTGTCAAAGACGTCCTAACATGGATGTAGTGAAGGAGTCTCATATTTGGGCCACAGTCGACACGTAATGTGAGCGAGGAGGTTAGTTATAACAAACCCACCATCCTGTTACAGTGAATCCTGCCTGTTAAGGAGATCTGAAACAGCGACACACATATACAGTGTGTGTGATGGTGGACAGGATTACACAAACAGTACAGTTTCATAGCACATTTATCGGATGTAATCATTACATGGATGAAGAAAGGGAGAAGTGATAGGTCAAAAACACGAATATGAATCTGAATGAACACAGACTGCATCTATATCAATTCCAGAAGTACCAAACTCCACAAATGTTAGAGGGTGAGATCTAACAGGTCAGCGTGATGATGGAGACTACACAGTTCATCATCATGATAGGACAGGCACATTTTATTCTTCATTTTAGCCCTTTAGAGGAGAACGTGCATGCAGGAAGACACTTCACTCACCTCTTTCTGAATCCCAATGACGTAAAATGTTTTCCCTTCGAACTTCAGCTTGCTAACATCCGTCCTGGAAGCAACCATGATGTTACAACATGAAATATACCTACATGATCTGGGTTAAGATAGGTTAAATGATTTTAAAAAAAAAGAAGAAATATGACTTAACAGCTGAATTTAGTGTTTATGATACTGAAGGACATTTCTATTTTAAAGTCAGAAACATGTAAAAATAATCAAATTCCTCAGGATACTATCAAAGGTTGTGCAGTATGATTGTTTCTTATTTGGTAAAGCTGTGTTAGTGTTAGTGGGGAAAACGATTCTAATCTAGCATGTCTTTTTATCTAATTCATCTCCTCATGGTCTGCTAGGTGTCTGCTCTATGTGTGCCCCAGAAAAAAAAATACAGTGTTTGTCCTCAGCCCTGGCTCTGTAAATGGGAAACAAACAAAGTAGCCCGCACCCTGCAGCACCATTCCTGTCTTTACAGCCATGATTTGTGTGTAATGTTAAATTACTTGCACGTGGACATTACTTTCTAGATTTCTGTTGTTGTGATGTTGGCTATAGTAGCAGAAGAGTTGTATCGCTGTCTGGAGCTGGTGTGCTGGCTCAGAGACCATTTTGTTGTCTCTGCATATTAGCTTTGCAACCGCAACTGTAGCAACAGTTTGCTAACCCACAGCCTAGCTAACTGTGTTCACTCTGCATCATCGTATTTGTCCTGGTATTGGATTTCTCCAGAATCACCTACCCCACCTTTTAATTCATGACATACAATTCTGTAAATACTGAGTTTTACCATTTAAGTTTGTTAACATTTGCACCTATTAACAGTGGTGAAATGTAATTAAGTAGAAGTACTGTATTTAAGTACAATTTTGGGGTACTTGTACTTTACCTACCTTCCATTTTATGGTATTTATACTTATAGAGAGGTAAACGTTGTCCTTTTTATTCCACTACATTTATTTAGTAGACTGCTGATTGAATTTAATTTTTAAATTGTAATCAAACCATATAATCATCTTATAAAATATGCAGAATAGTTATCAATTAAACTACCCAAGAGTAGTAGTTAGAAATAACGCCACCTTGACCAGCTGCAACATGAAATGCCCACAAACATTAATGCATCAGTAATAATAATCTAATAATATAGCATGTCACTCTGTATTAAGTTCTTTTATATTTGATATATGTATGTAGTATGTATATATGTAGTCATTTGAAGTACATTTTGTTAATTAATTCTTACATAAATGTACTTAAGCAAAACTGGGATTTCAGAGGTATTGCTTCTTTTATGATTAAACGACTAAACGATTGAAGGAGGATGGAGATTTTAAATTGCTCCTAGTACATATTATATTCAGCTACAGTTGAGATGAAACAGAGTGAGAGTGTGTTACGAGTACATTTGATCGAGACTACACATTTAATGTCCATGCATACAGGTTTATATTCAAGAAGTAAGGGGCAAATTTGTACCATTTGAGGAGGTGGATCCTCTTGTTTCCCTGGAAGACCACAAAACCTGTAGCTGTGAACCCAAGAAAGGCTGTAGAGCCTGTGAAATCCTGCAAAGACACACACACACACACACACACACACACACACACACACACACACACACACACAGTGAGAGTAAGCACATAGCATTATGGGATACATGTGGATTAACAGCGGGGATGCAAGTGGGCCATCAGTACTCTGCATGGTAATGGCACCTACAAATAATTACATGTTTGTTTCAAACTTCCCTAATTTGCAGTAACTGGCATCAAGAACAAGGCAAAATACACAAAGAAAACACATAACAAGTAGACTCAGTCTGATATAATGAGGCAAAATGAAACCGCCATCAACCCCAGAGTAAGAGCAGAACACACTATCTTCCTGTCACTCTCCGACAGCATTGTTTCATCATCTGTAGACCTCCTTTTCTCTGCTGGTGTGCCTCTCTGTAAATCACTCTAATTTTTTTGCTTACGTTCTCTGATTCTTGATCTTCACATATCTGCAACTGCGTGGTTCTTCATTCCAAGCAATAACAGCGATATCCAACAAACCAATTTAAAAAACGGCCCCACTGACAAGGGTGGAGCAGATAAAGCGGACTCTCTAGAAATAATTTAAATATCTTGTTTATCTGCTTTGATATGTTTGTCCATGGGAGGGGAGGGCTGGACGGAGAACAAACAGAGAGGGTGAGAATGAGTGAAAAGCAAATGTAAAACATTGCTTTTCTTTATCTGATCAACAACGCTACAAGAGAAACACCAAGTAAAACGTAAATGAACCACAGTACTAAGTAACAGTAGATCTTAACTCTAAAGACTTCCGGTCTAAACAGAAATTATGGAGCTGAAGCCATGATTTCTCTAACCGATCAATAAATATATGGATTCCTGATGGTTTCTGTGCAGACCACATTTCTTCTGTTTACCAAGATAATGTTGCCAGAGGTGCAAATGTAAACTAGAGGCCCATCTGACCTAACTTACTGACCTCTCAGATTTGCTGTTGTCTGTAAAGTTAATCGTGTGTGTAGCTGTCCGTCTAATATGCAAATGAAAGGCAAACAATCAAAGGGTAAAGAGGACAGGTTGAGTATATGTGTGTAACTGGCACAATCACTCTCTCCACTGAAGCCAGAACCTGTGCTTCCACTTAAATGCATGAACAACTTAGGTGAATATTTGCACCTGTGAATGAATAGCTGCAACTGAAATAAGCGTTGTGTTTGTTCACTATTTGCAGATTAACAATAAAAAAACATAAAGTTGACAGTGATGGTAGAAAGTGTAAATTTGTACCTAAAAGATGACAGAGCAGAAAAATGTGCTCATCCTTAACATTTACTATAACTGTAATAAATTTTAGTACTAAGTGCTATGACCACAATCTGAGGATTCACCTTCGAATGATCAGAGCAACTGCCCAAATGAATTAATCCATTAACAAATGGGTTAAATGTAAGGGTCATCTGTGTGAAAATGATTATATACAAGCTATTATTTTTACAGGCATTATGTATGAATACTTTATACTTAGTACATGATGTATTTACAGAGAAAGGGACAAAGGTAGAGACATGCGTTTGAGGCCTTCTAAGACAGAGATACAGTATATCTCTGTAAATTATGATCAACATCAATTGGGTATGTTACTGAGGCATGGAGAATAAACCGTGAACACATAAATCTCTCTTAAGAAAGAGATTTGCATCACTTTGATCTGGGGAAACTTGTCAATATCAACAGCAGCAGGCCTCAACACCAGACTGGATGAAAGTGTACGTTCTACCTTGCATGGGTGAGGGTCAACTCCATATGTTTCGAGGCTGTGAGCCCTTTGGAGCATGCTCAGCTCTGCTAATGCAGCACACTGGCCTCTAAAAGAGAGGAGAGGAGAGAAGTTTATTGAAAAAATCAATACATTGATGCTGTTAGCATATGTCACATTTTACACATTTAAGCAACAAAATCATTTCTCTGCATCTTTGTTTAAAGTAATAACATTTGGCTCCGTTTTTGTTCATCATTGTTAATATTTTTAGACGCCAAGTGTTCAGCGGGAGTTGTGTTGAAGCTGCACTTGTTCATTAGTCTAAGTGCTGCAAAGTCAAAAAAACTGTATGATGTAAACTGCTCACTCACGGTGACGCCACGCAAATAAATCAACATCAAAACTGCACACACATAAATCTGTCTACACGCACATTAAAGAACTTCTTGACTATGAAAATACAACTCATGGACACACATAGCCCACCCCATATGTGAACAACCTGAAGTTTCTTTCTACAGCTAAGTAGTAATATACATGCTGTTAATCTTGTCTGTCAGACAGAGGGCATTTAGCATCATCTGCCTCTGTGCTGTGGGAAATGATGGATTTGTCTTTGATGTTCTATAATCGCTGTAAGTGTGATGGTCACAAACCTAACAACATCATTCAAGAGCTGCAGCAAGGATAACACAAACAACCCAAGGGAGGGGGTTTCAGAGTAAGACTTAGAATGGGGCATTGCTTTCAACATATTTGAATCTTCTTCACTTCTTCATCATTATATGTATGCACAAACCTTTGGGTGCATTAATCACCTCCTCTATAAATTCATCTTCCTCCTCGTATTGCATTTCATACCACAGGCAGTTGCCGGTGTTGCCCCTGATCACATGCAGAGGAACGAGGATACACAAAGGACAAACAAGAGGATCTGATTCATCAGGTGTAGCTCATATTTTCCATCACAACTTTTAAGTGGAAAATCCCGCAGCAACAAGCAAGGTGTCCAAAACAAGCTTGACATAAATAATTCATGCTCATTCTTCTGCAAATTAATTTCAGTTTTTATTTACTTTCAATTGAAATACCTTCTGCAATGCAATGAACCACACGTCTCTGCTTATTGTCCAATTCTGTCTCTAGCCAGAACGACGGAAAGCGTTTTATTGTTTGCAGAGAAGAAAATTGTCTCCACACCATGTTTTGAATACACAGATCACAGGAGTGTATCCACGCCTGTCACCGAAATCAAGACGCAGCTCCAGACAACAAACAGCCCCAGCACACACACACACACACACACACACACACACACACACACACACACACACACACACACATCTTTTACCTGAGCTCGTTCTTGTGTATTTCTATAATCTTCCTCTCCAGTTTGAGGGATTGTTTAGGGAACAGCTTGAATTCTCTGATGTAGTCTGATGGGTGCTCCTCTGGGTCGTAGTCCCCGAGCTCAGCTGGAGACAGAGGGCAATATCAGTGTCAAAATTGTCCAAAGAACTGGTTGAACAGTTGCGAATATCTGATTTACATATATAAATGCAGTCCATTTACAGTAACATTTTGGGAAATGTACTTATTTGCTTTGTGGTGGATGAGTTAGATGAGAAGATTGATATCATGTTTGTAAAGTAAATATGAAGCTGGAGTCAGCAGCCTGTTAGCTTAGCTTATTATAAAGACTGGAAACAGATGGAGCTAGCCTGTCTCTGTCCAAAGGTGACAAAAACTCACTAATTAACATGTTAAATCTTTTTTAATCTGTACAAAAAAGTGAAGTGTACAAACAAATTTGAAGTAGCTTTACATGCAGGATTACTTTTTGGTTGGGAGCAGTAACTTCCTGGACTCTCTGCTAGTTTGAACTATTCCTTTAACATTTGAGTTAACAGATTTGTGTCACCAGCAAATGTGATGGTTGCTCAAGCCCCCCAAAAAAAGTCTTAAAGAGAGATCGTTTTCATTACATCTTTATTTCCACAGGATACTCATAAGCCTGATAGATAAATATGTTCCTTATTGAATCCAGTACAAAGTCCTACCAGACCCTCATTTATCTTTTAAATCCGTTCTTAATTAGCAATCATAATAAAGGTTAAATCAAATACTTGCCTGGAGTTTAATTAAACAATAATCCTCAACCTATTCTCCAGGGACAGGGACCTGCCCTCGTTAATCAGAGCAGCCAATGATACGCTGCAGACACATTATGGGTTGAGATAATGCAGCCAGTCACACTCTGCACTCTGGGGATATGAGCCAATCAGAGAGAGTTTGTAGAGTTCAGTGATTTGTGTATCAGCCAGAAGGTTTCATTTATATGATACAGCTCAGCTAATTCCACTCTTAATCCGTATTAAAGCAAGTGGCTCTGCGCTGTGATTCGACTATTACTGCTAATTAACCGAATAAAAAAATCTTTGTTATTCCTTTTCCCAGTGGTCCATATGCATCTTGCAGTGTTTTAAAATGTAGGATTACCAGTCTGATGGTTTGAAGTGTTGCCGCTTAATAAAGTAGAGAGTGGTGTTTGATGCTCTTTAGCTGGTTGCATTAAGCTAGCTCTTCTTTGAGACTTAGCCCAGTTATGACAGTTCATCATTATTATTATTATGACAGTTTAGCTCAGTGTGCTTTATTGGCATGAATGTTTAATTTAAACAATGCTGCTGAAGCAGCAAAATCAAAATGATATGATATGACACGATAAATCAATGCGATAAATGACATAAGTGTTACTAAGTGGAGATTTAATGTTACACGTCACCAAATCAAAACTGTATCTTCATCTTTCCTTTATAAAAGGAATTACCTGCTGGATATGATAATCTGGATTCACGGTGACGATCATGAATAAGAGTAAATAAATAAATAACGTACAATAAAGATGATCAGGTTTGACTGGTGTGAGAGATGAGATATCAAAAAAGCCAAACAGTGGAAGGTGAAAAGCCTCATTATTCGTAACCCATTGTATAAACATTCTACAAAACCTATTTGACTCTTTAAAAATATTTTACTTAACTGTTGTTTTTATTTTTCCCGATGTTGCTTTTATGTAAAGCACTTTGAATTGCCTTGTTGTTGAAATGTGCTATATAAATAAACTTTCCTTGCCTACAGAAAGAAAGCATGTAATCAATGACTGAACACACAGAGCAATAAACTGGACTGAAACTGAAATTACAGCACTGGAAACTGAATATGAACTGGATGAATCTGCTATCACTAAGGTAATGTATACGTCGACCACTGTAAACAGCACAGAAAAAAGTAATGTTTTAAAAAGCAGAAAAGCAAGGGAGGAACAACTGTAAAAACCTGTGGAGGAAAATCAAATCTAATTATTGTTAACTGTAACATGCTAAATCACCTCTAGATTCACTGTCATTAAGTTTATACCAAATCCAGTGTTTGTCCCTAGGCCTCACCCTGTACAATGCAGGCTCCCAGATATGCAGCTTCAGCAAAAGGACAGAGGAGACGACCGTGGTAGATATCTCTCTTCAGCTGGAGGTACAGGAGATACCTGAACACATGAAAAAAGAAAAACTGATAATGCCACTTAGCTTAAATATGCTTTCCATGCCTTAATCAAATTTAAAGTGTATTTGGTCTTAAGTAAGGCAGTGTATGGCTGCAGTATGGCAGAAATATGTAGAAAATTGAGCCTGCCTTCCACAGAAAAACGACCATATAGGTCTTTTGAGCCACACAAAATTAGTCTCATGTTTACGTTTCCTGTGGCAGCGACCTCTAGTGATTGTATGCATCTGGGGTTGCCACCTTCAATACAGAAAAATAAGGGACGCCTGCCACAGCGGGGGCCCAGCAACGACAGGCCCGATGGTATGCCAGTGGTGGTATATCATAACTTAAAACATGTTTTCAGGAAAGTATTAAGATTGATACCAGTGGACGTTAATAAGCTATCTGCCATTGAAATAAGTGTGAACAGATGCTCTATGTCTCTCTCTATCACAACTCAACAGACAAGTGATCATATTGTCATAGCTAAATCCACATATGACAATAATAAACATTGGCCAACAATGTGTGACAGTGAGACCACAAAAAATAGGACATGAACCGTATTTTATTAAATTATTAAATCAACATGTCCATAACTTTTGAACCATAAATAGGCTAAAACAAATGCTTTGTACGATTAGATTGAGAATACTTTTGCACAGGATTTTCCATGAACATCATGAACTTCAGTGGACCAGAAGGAGTAGGCTATGTGTGCAGTATTGGAGCATGTTAGGTCTACTTCCATTTATGGGTTATTCTTGTCAGAAGTACACTACTCGTGCAGCACTGAGTAGCTGTTTGTCTTTCAAACAGCTACAGTAAAACTATGAACAGGACTGCTCAAAGCTGAGAGTGATCAAAAGCTAATGAGCAAGTGTTCTTGCTGTCACTTTGTTGGTCATTTCCAGAAGGAAAACATTTCCAAAACATAGGCCCGGTCAGGAGACGGAGTTTGAAATTGCCATTTTGGGAGGCATGGACAAACACCACGCTATTGGGGCACTATTGCTCATATTAGCTGTATTTGGTTAAAAATGTTGTCGTTTAGGTTGGAGGACTTGTTGGAGTGGAAAATTTCATGTGGATGTGCACCATTGGTTATCCTTACTGCAAGTGTGCATTTAGTATTGATTTTAGTAAAAAAATTTCAAATAGTTAAATTCATAAAACCAATAAAGGCCCTTGATTTCATAATGATGTAGTTGTGTTATTTTGGCAATTAGAGAGAGTATTTTCAAACACCTAGAATACAGTAACGACTGGAAGGCTACTGTAGGTATTATTGAAGCGGCTTAAGTGGAGGCAAGTTTCGCCACACGGCTGTTGCTGATGCGCACATTTGTCTCGTGTCACCAAGGAAACGAGAAGACATAATGGCGCTGAACCTTTGGGGACATGTGTTGCCATGGATACAGATGAGTTTCGGGAGGAGATGAAAACACCAAGTCAACTGACTCATTAAACTTGTTTTCTAACTCAAGTGAAAGAAGCAGCAGAAGGAAAGCGTGAAAGACTGAATGAAGTGAAAAGCCTGCTGCTGTAGCTAAATAGTTTTATTTTTAGTCTGTAGCCGCATGGAGCCTTAAAAACACACACTCTTTTCTGTCTTCTCATCATCTATTTCCTATATATTTAATTTAACATATATATTAACATATTTAATTTGAACCCTTTTTGTCCCCATTCCTGACTTTGGAAAAAACTTTTATTTTAACCCTCATCTTCTTTTCCCCCTCTTTGCTTTCCACTCTTCTTCTCCCACTCTGTGTCTTATACCCATTCTCATTTCCTGTATGAGGTTTTATTTGTGTAGGTCAGCAGTGTTTTGACTGATAGTCAATTCCACCAAAAAAGAAACTATATATACCTTGGAAGGTTTTTTGCAATATGGCCAGAGAAGAACGTCAATTTTGGATGATTATGTTCAACGCTGACGTTTTTATCTTTCTGCAACATCTGCACATGGAAACTACAGTATGGCTTATGTTAAGAAAATGTGTGGTTATGGTTAATACAAATGTCTTAAAATTATAATATAAATTTATTTGTTAGTGATGAGACTTGATGAGAAAGTCCAACCTCCTCAACCATACATTTTGTCACTCTATATAGAAAGTTAGAAAGTACACACTACTACACTACGGTGCGTTTCCCGTACATTGAACTATGTTGGTACGATGCATCGTTAGACTAACCAACATCCAAAGTATGACCGTTTCCCAAAACTGTCGTACCTTGTTGGTACCACCGTGGTTTGAACTAACTTAGTTTGAACTAACATGTTTCCAGGTGTGTTCGTCTGCCTTTCACAGCAGAAAACTCACAAATCGTTGTCATATTATGCCTAAATATGTCGGCTGTGACCAATATTAACTGACATTGTGTTTAAAGACAGACACAGGTTCAAACCCTGTAAGTTCTCTATTGATCTTTGTTATACTGGCAACAAAAGCTTTCAGGGATTTATTCATTACAGTGCTTTCATGAATTTTATGCTGTCCCTTTTTTTTAATTTTGTAATGAAGACTAGAGATCTTCCTCAAAGGCCTAGAAATGTATACATGAAGGTAATATTAAAAGTCTTGTCTTTACATTCACCGTTTTGTCCTTTAACCTTTGTGCTGGGTGACTAATATTAATTAAGTTATTGTGAACAGATGGGTAATCTGTGAGTAGAACACCTGCTGTTTGTAGATGATCTACACTAAGTTACTTAGTACTGAATTAATGCAACCCTACCCATGACCCCACAAATACATTTAAAAGAACTTTTACAACTACATAAAAAAAAAAAACTTCACCTGAAATATCTTTGTACAGCAGGATTATCTAACCTTATCTAACCTCCTAACACTGCATTTTCTGCTATCTGTGACGTAGTCACCATGAAGTGAGCTTCTAACCACAGGTCAGGAGCTGTGATTCGAACTATGCAACTATGCACTTGACAGTGGTTGCAAACGTTCGTCAGAACTATGGTTTTGGGGAACACTTGCATCACTTAATGATGGTTCGTACCATGCAAGTTACTACCACGAGAAGTGGAGCTGACACCTGAAATAATGGTCCCTGAACTTGCAGCAGTCTATATTCAGAATATGAGCTTGCTGCGTGATTCTCTTTCTTACACACACACACACATTAATTTCCTTGTGTGGGTCAGGAATGAACGAGGATGGTGGAACTTGTCTGGTGCAAGTCCCCAACACTTCCTCATGTTTTACTTTGCACGCCCAGGATTGAGGAATTTTTAAACAGTGTATATTTTCTTCATGGTCTTCATGTCCGTACATGGCTGATCCATATGATCCGCACATTCTAAATGCAGCTGTTTTTTTACAGAGTTGTTTTTACAACAGACCTGCCACTTCTTGAGGTGGAGGAAATTAAGATCTCACCTGAAATCTCACACAAGTCATACCATTAAGGAGGAAGAGAAATAGAGATAAATAGGATAAAGTTGTTCTTTGGTTAAAGTTTATTCCCTGATGCCACTGCACCAAGCAGTGCATTCCCTGAGAGTTTCAGAGTGGGTAGTTGATGTCCTTTCTCGAGACACTTCAACTAACTCCTTGTACAATTTTTCCAAACTGCACATTAACACAATGGCAGCAAGATAAAACTAACTGTGGCCCAAGTTAATTGTCTGCTTATTCCAACTACACAGCATAAAATGATGATGATAATAGTTACCTTAGTTACCTCCATAGTTCGAACTAGGGTTTTGGGAAACAGTTGCATTGCAACGGCATAGTTCAAATCAAGAAAGCTGCTACCGTTGTTAGCAATGATGTTTTTGGGAAACGCACCCCTGCTTGTGGGTGTGATCCAAACACTACTGGGTTGTTTTTTCATTTCTTTTTGATAACTTTGGGGTTGAAATGTATAGTTAGGGAGAAAAATGGCAGACTTCAAATAACATCCTGCAAACTGGAGCGCGCACACACACACACACACACACACACACACACACACATACACACACATTAGCATAATCGTTTTTGGATTCTGATGATGAAAAATCCTTCCCCCTAAAAAACTTTATATATTGCGCTCCCGTGGATTTCATCACTGACTGCAGTTCCTTCTGAACCTTCGATTTGACTTTAACTTTTATGCCCACTCCAAACTCATCGAGGCGGGGATTTAAAAATCTAGAGAGACATGAGAGAAACTGAAGTTGAGCTTAAGGAAGGAGGAAGCTGAGAAACAGAGCGGAAAGTTTTTATGACACTGATGATGCAGAAAAACACCTTTAAGTAATAAAAGTTGCAGAGGACTGGGCGACATGCCAATATGAGTTGAAAGATGTGGAGAGACACCGGAGGGATGAGAAGGAGCTGTGATTACGTGGAGGAAGAAGGAGGACAGAGCGAGACCAACAGAAGGAAGGGAGGAGACACCTGAGGGATGAAATTATGTAGTGGAGAGATCTGAAAAGGGGGGGAAGAAAGAGAGAGAGGGAGAGGGAACAAGATGGAAAGGCAGGGATGGAGGAAGAGAAGAGAGAGCCATCAGAGCAGGGGCATCCGTCTCTAACTTCAAGAGGCTCTTGAAAACTCATCTCTTCTCTTATAACAACTCTAACCCTTAACCTCTAATATACACTTCCTGTGCTCTTCTTTTTGTTCTCCTTACAATTCTCTTGTATTGATTGCACTAGTTCATTAACTCTTACTTCTTTCCCTACGTATTTACATGATGCCATTGATGCCATACATGCTATTATAGCTCTTATTATTGCTGCACACACACACACACACATACACACAGACACACACACACTCAGAGTGAGAGTAAGTATATATATATATATATACATATATATATATATACACACACATATATACATATAAATGTAACACTCATTACACACTAGAAAACTAAATTGTTGGATGGATGAAAAATTGAAAGAACTTTTCTATGTTGACATGTTCCCAAAGCCATAGTGGCAAATACAACAATATTTAGGATCTGGTGGGTGCATTACTGTGGGGAAAATAAATAAAACAATAGTGTGAAAATGTTTAAGAGCTGCAGAAACAGATTGAAAAGTATTGTATTTCTGAATCTATTTAGAGATAAACGAATTGCCTAATTTTTCAGCTATGGCTACAGAAAGAAAAATAAATAGATCCCTGCAATTTGGTGAAAATTAGACAATATTGTTGTGGCAAAAAGCTGTATTGTGTGTCAGGGATATTACATGTTTGTTTTCCTGTCTCTGCTGTGGCTGCCAACCACATTTTTGTTCCTTTAACCGACAGCAGGCCTGGTGTTAGCAAACCAGGCAAAGGTCCCTGAGATTACCAACCACTCTCTGGGATTATTTTGAGCCATTCCTTAATGAACCTTTGCACTACAATCAGCTATTGAAGTGTAGCTAAGATGCAAGTTTATATAAATGTAATAAAGCTGCCCTCAAACAAAGAAACAAGTCTTTTTTACACTTTGTCTATCCTTCCCTTTTTACTCAGTCACTCATAAACAATCCTTTAAGTGTGTGAGTTTTTACCTGGTGAGCTCTTCCTTGATTTTCATCGGCTCATTGGGATAAAACTTGACCCGGAAGCACATCATGTACGGCTGCTGAGCTGCTGAAGACAAGAGAGACGCGTGAGAAGAACATATAGAAGGGAGAAGAGATTAGAAGACAGTAAGGAAAGTTAAAGGAGAGTGCGGAGGTAGAAATTAGTTGGAAACATGAGAGAAAGATGAGAGAAATGACAGTAGAAATGTAGATGCCTTTAATGAGGAGAGGAGAGGAAAAAGGAGAGGAGAGAATAATGAGTAGAAGAGGGAGAATGGGGAGAAGGGCAATGAGGATTATGTAAAACTGGAGAGAAAAAGAAGTTGGAGACAAAAAAAGAAATCACGGTATGCCTCTAATACTGATTAGTCATTTGATAATTACAGTAATTACACACACACACATACACACATATTGTGTAATAGTGCCTCATTTGAACTGGAATCTGTTTCTTTTCCTTTGATCTGAGTCCTAAAGCATTTCATTTCTGACTGTGTGCGTGTGTGCATGTGTGCGTGTGTGCTTCAGCTGCAGGAGAGAATTTGATCTTAGAATGGTATTTAAATATGCATGGTCACATACATACACACACTTACATAAGTGCGCGCGCACACACACACACACACGCACCGACCATCATAGGCTGTGGGGCTCAGATCAAACGACAGCAATGGCTTAAACTCCCTCCTGGGGTCTCACAGATCTCACAAAATAAACACACACACACACATGCTAACATTCAAAGTTTACTCACTGAAGTTAGCACATTTGCATGATGTACAGACATATCGACACACAGCTTAGAAACGTCAACTGACGAAGATACATCAACTGCTATAAGCCAATTCATTATGCATGAATCATATGAAATGAAAAGTACTGAAATCAATGGTCTTCATTCTGATGTCAGGATATGTCGTATAAGAGACGTAAAAGTGGCCCAATTCAGATTTTTTATTCACTCTTTGTCCGTTAGTTAATGTCAGTGTGTTCTTTTTTTGCCATGACCGCGATCTTTCCTGAACTTCCTGAACAAATCAACCAAAACTATTTCGTACCTTTCATTTCTAACAGATTCAGAAGGAACTGACATACGATGTGGTCCTGTTGAAAGGTACGTCAGATTGAAAAAGGCTCAAATGTGTTTTATATGTGACAAATGAACTACGTCATTTGTTGTTTACTTTAGAGAAACTTGTTGGATTTTATGTTCAACGTGCTCGTATGTGAGTTTAAGAAATGTGTAAACAGAAAAAAAGGTCATCATCAGGAGACATCAGCAAATCCTTCTAGCTAACAATTATCTGCACAAAAAGATGAAAGAAATATACAGCTCTTGTATTCCCGATTCAGGTTTTATTCTACACAGTGACTTGAGTGAGAAAATTTATGTTAAAGCATTTTCATGTCTATGTAGAATAAAAGAAAAACTGGGAACAAGACAGATGTGCTGGCATAATTTCATTGAGGAAAAACATCTTGGAGTCAGATGGCTTGTGGGTTAAGCTTATGTCTGAAGTGAACTCAGGTTATTTTTAGTGTAAACACAGAAATCTCATATGGATTAGTTTCAAAGGAGATGCTAAAAGAAGATGCAAAAAAATCTGATATAGGCAATGATTCTAAAGTGGGCATCGAGCAATAAACTAAACAGAGACGAGAAAAATATGTGGCAGAAGAAAAGAAGGAAGGAATCATCTAACATGGGACCGTAAATCTTTACAGAGTGCCCTCACCACTCTGTCTTTAATGGAGGGATCCTCTGCGGTATTATCCAGCTATGAAAAACAGCACACATCTACATAATACATGCTGAGCAATATGAAAGACGCAATCCTCCCACTCGCTCCCAAAGAATTTGAGCTGCTTTTTTGCTCAGGCTTAAGGGACCAAGATGCTTTTTTTTTTTTTAAAGGTTTTAGAGAAAGTGAACTGGCAAAATGGTATGCACACACACACACTTGTAAAAATGTGACGCATATGCACGTAAGCCCAGACGCACAAAGAGAAAATAAAACACAAGCCACACATCCTAATTTGAGAGTAAATCCTGCCACAGGGAGAACTGATGTGTCAGTACGACTCAGATCTATTCAACACTCGTCCTCCATGCCTCTTTTTCTTTCTTTCATTCTCTGTCAGCCTCTCTCCTCTCAAACTGTCTCTCCAATCTTGTCTTTTTCTCCCTCTTTTCTTCCCTAATCTGACTTCTTTCTTTAGCTACATTATCTATCACTGTCTCCTCTCTGTCTGTCTGTCTCTCTCTCGTGCCCCCCCACACATTTCCTCTTAATCACTCTTTTCTCCTCTTTCTCTCTTCCTCCATCTCTCATTATAATTTTCACTGATCGCCTCATCCTCTCCCCCTCCTGTCCTCTAGCACATGTTCTGATGAAGCCGAATGCGCTGCTAATAGCTCTTTTATTCATTTATAGTGGTACAGAAAGAACAGGGCAGTCATGAAAAGGGTGGGCGACCTTCAGACACAGACACGTTTTAGTTGATCACACAGGTAATGGCCAAATATAGACGAGCATCACGCTGAGAAACTATGCAGCAACTATGCTTCAGTTTCATCAGAAGTTTGAGGTTTCTTTCCCCAACTATCTAAAATCAACAACAGTAAACATCAGGATTTGGCATCAGACCAGTAGAATTAAAGAGGTGGTATTATGCTCATTTTCAGGTTCAAAATCTAATTTTGTGGGTTGTACCAGAACAGCTTTACATGGTTTAATTTTCAAAAAACACCATATTTTTTTTCATATTGCACATTGCTGCAGCTCCTCTTTTCACCTTGTGTTGAAGGCTTCGTTTTAGAAGTGGAGTGATACATCTTGTCTCTAAATGATCTTTGTTGGGAGTTGCACATGCCCAGTTCCTAGTTAAGGACTACTAGCCAATCAGAAGCAGAGAAAGGCGGGTCAGCGAAAAGAAGGTAAACAGCTTCGAATCAGCTGTAGGCTACATGTTGCCGACCAGCTTGGCAATTTGGACTGGAGCAAGAGTTTCAGAGTGGTAAGTTATTAATCTGATCAATCAAAAGTATCTTTCATCCATAAAGTTTTAACTGAGCTCTGTCTCTACATCACAGTAACAACTTCATGTCCATTGACTGCTTGAAGGGTAGCGAGTGTTTGGAAGGGAGAGGAGAGGTGTGCTGCAGCTCAGTGTTTTTCCACCGGTGTTTTTGAGGGTGTGTCGGACTAGCCGCTCAGCAAGCATTATGACACGTATTTACTTGTGACCTCACAAGAAAGGGAAGTAAAGGCTGGACTACAAATGAGCTGTTTTCAGGCAGTTCAGAGCAGAGTTTTCTGTGGGAGATGGGATCTCCCTTTTGGGGTGGACATTGGGCTTTTTCACTTTGCAAACCTAGTACATGCACAAAAAAGATATATAACTCAATAAAGGAAAGGGAAAAAGCCAAAAACCATAATACCACCTCTTTAAAGACTGAGGCATTTTATTTCTAGACAAAGAATTTACTAAGAAAAATAACAATGTGAAAGAAGAGCTAGAGGTTTGGTTGTCTCCCAGACCCCCCCTGTATGTGGCAAATAAAAGCGATGTGTTTAATTTTTTAACAAACGATAACAGACTTATCTTCCCTTGTTCCTTAAGTTACTCCTTTCCAGGAAGGGAATACATCATTTTCCTCTAGTATAAAGTGTATCTCACAATTCCGTGAAATGTGACATTGCATTTTTAGCATTGCTGGAATATAACTAAGTACATTTACTCAGGTTCTGCACCCTTTTGAGGTATGTTACTTGAGTATTTCCATTTTTTTTGCTACTCTATGCTTCAGCTCCACTACATTTTAGAAGCCAATATTGTTACCATACATCATTTATTTGACAACATTAGTTCCTAGTTACTTTGCAGAACCAGATTGTCAATACAATATATAAATCTACTAATAAAGGACGATGTATTATTATACTTTAAGCTACACATTAACTGAAAGCGGTCTGTTTATTTGTATGACAATTGAGGTCTGTCTTAAGTTTGTGCTCTCCTGTCATGTATGTGTATATTACTTTGTGTGATTGTGTTTATTTCCTTTTTGGAGCCATTTGCCCCTCTGGCATTTCGCTGTGTTCCTAAGAAACTCTGCTCTTGTCACTTTGTCTGCCTATATTGTGTCTCTGTTTGTCTCCCTGTGGTGTTTCTGAGAAAAGACGCTGTCCGACATTGTCTGGCTCTGTCACTACTTGTGGCAAATGGTAATGTGAGCAACGTGTCCTGGGGTTACAAGGACCTAAAACTTGTATATGAGTAAAATTCCTAAATGCTACTTGTCCATTATGAAAGTTTACCACAGGTGATTTATCAACAGGCCACATGCTGAAATCTGATTTTTAATTTCAAATGCTTTTGAATATCCAGTGGTTTTAACACTGTTGCGTGTGCACTGTCATGACCCTGTATGTGTGTATGAGTCTCTGTGGTGTTGTCTGTTTGCTGTAAAGCTTGACCTCACCTCACAGTGAAGCGACTCTCAGGATACAAATTCAGACCTGAATACAAGGCATTAACAAAGACAAACACACACAAGAATGTGCACACACAAGTGCAAACACAGGCATGTGCATTTCACGCTCTGCTCTTTGCTGTGTACACCCACACTGATGCAGAACACACAGAAAAACACAACGGGAGCAGAAGTGACACTTACACTTCATCTGCCTGACAACGGGTTTATTGGGCTCCAGCCAGTGCTGAGAGACAAAGACAGAGGGGAGAGAGAGCGAGAGAGAGAGAGAGAGAAAAGACAATGTTACTCTAAATAAGGACACTGACTTTTAGAAAAGATCAGTTTAAAAGACTATGTTGCATTTCAATGAGCTCACAAGTTTTTCCAAACTAAAAATGTCTTTATTCAATCAAGTAAGTTTCAATGACAGCAAAGCTCTATGTTTTGTAACCCCCTGCTCACCTGGAAGCTTCAGTCTGACCTGCTGCAGTTTTAATTTGTTTGAATTCAGAGCCTTTATTCTATAGTAAGGTTTTCTTTACTGCACTCTTTCATACTCGTGCCTTTTGTGCTGTAACACCACTTGCTGTTACGCTGCAAGGTTAAGAATTCTCCAAAGGTGGGTTGGTGATGAACACCCGGATGTCTCGTCTTTGGTTGGAAAAAACTCCTGAACTTAATCCCACTTGAAAGGTTATCACACATAATGACTAAAAACAATGTGTTTGTAAAATTTGTAAAACTGTATACTTGATTACACTGATATAAGATAAAAGAATAAAAAATATTGAAATGTAACACCACTCCCTGGTATTTGCTTGTTGTTATTTCTTTCTCAGCTTGCATTTTAAATTCAGCTAGAGGCCGGCTGAGCTTCTGCTGAGACAAAGCATCTGGTCTCCTATGTGTGTGGGCTGTTGAAATATGGAGACTGATCTTGTTATTATTTGTCACTTGAACTTGTAATATAACGTACTGACTGTCTCCTGATTAATATCCAACAATCCCATTGTGGCCATGCTGACTCAGTGGAGCCGTTTCTTGTTAGTAGGTGCTTTATTTTTGTTTTTCTGCTGTGATTATGTGCCAAAACCAACACTCTGAAGACATCACTCTGCAAAATTGTGATTGCTGCACTTTCACCATTAATCAAAAAGTGATGGACAGATAATGAAAATAGCTGTTAGTTGCAGCCCTACTGCTTTTGGTTGTTCTGCATGCGTGCATGCGTTTGTGATAGTTACCCTTTGTTTCTCTGGGTCCACATATCGAATACCAAAGTAGTCTTTCTCAAGTAGGTTGTAGTGGTTACACACATGGTCCAACAGGAACTGGCCTTTGGTGTCTCTCTGTAAAGACATAAAACACATTAAATCCAAGAAGATATTTTGTGTCAGTAAGCATCCGGTACTTTCATGTAAGCAATCTTTCTATCCATGCTGATAAATCATGTTAACCTCCCAGCTGCATCTGATACCAGGTACGTCACTGCGCCGTTAGGTAGTATTTCTCTGATGCACAACATGTTAATTCAAAGAAATATGTCAGCAACTTTTAGGTATCTTGGTGACGATATATACTGTATCAGCAGTCCATATGCAGTTCATAAACCCAGTGCAGACATAGAGAGATTAATAATCAATAGGACTTTATTGCCATGGAAAAGGGATGCATTTATTACCTGCTCCTCAGTCAATATCTAATCATCACATACAGACACATACAGGGATTCTCGTGCTAAAGTGTGTATAGCTGAGCACAAAAAAACACTCTGAGATGTGTGTAAGGTGTGATTATACATGCACACACACTCATAAAACATATACAGGTGCTGGTCATATAATTAGAATATCATCAAAAAGTTGATTTATTTCAGTAATTCCATTCAAAAAGTGAAACTTGTATAATGTATACATTCATTCCACACAGACTGATATATTTCAAATGTTTATTTCATTTAATTTTGATGATTATAACTGACAACTAATGAAAACCCCAAAATCAGTATCTCAGAAAATTAGAATAATGTGAAAAGGTTCAATATTGAAGACACCTGGTGCCACACTCTAATCAGCTAATTAACTCAAAACACCTGCAAAGGCCTTTAAATGGTCTCTCAGTCTAGTTCTGTAGGCTACACAATCATGGGGAAGACTGCTGACTTGACAGCTGTCCAAAAGACGACCATTGACACCTTGCACAGGGAGGGCAAGACACAAAAGGTCATTGCTAAAGCTGTTCACAGAGCTCTGTGTCCAAGCACATTAATAGAGAGGCGAAGGGAAGGAAAAGATGTGGTAGAAAAAAGTGTACAAGCAATAGGGATAACCGCACCCTGGAGAGGATTGTGAAACAAAACCCATTCAAAAATATGGGGGAGATTCACAAAGAGTGGACTGCAGCTGGAGTCAGTGCTTCAAGAACCACCACGCACAGACGTATGCAAGACATGGGTTTCAGCTGTCGCATTCCTTGTGTCAAGCCACTCTTGAACAAGACACAGCGTCAGAAGCGTCTCGCCTGGGCTAAAGACAAAAAGGACTGGACTGCTGCTGGGTGGTCCAAAGTTATGTTCTCTCATGAAAGTAAATTTTGCATTTCCTTTGGAAATCAAGGTCCCAGAGTCTGGAGGAAGAGAGGAGAGGCACAGAATCCACGTTGCATGAAGTCCAGTGTAAAGTTTCCACAGTCAGTGATGGTTTGGGGTGCTATGTCATCTGCTGGTGTTGGTCCACTGTGTTTTCTGAGGTCCAAGGTCAACGCAGCCGTCTACCAGGAAGTTTTAGAGCACTTCATGCTTCCTGCTGCTGACCAACTTTATGGAGATGCAGATTTCATTTTCCAACAGGACTTGGCACCTGCACACAGTGCCAAAGCTACCAGTACCTGGTTTAAGGACCATGGTATCCCTGTTCTTAATTGGCCAGCAAACTCGCCTGACCTTAACCCTATAGAAAATCTATGGGGTATTGTGAAGAGGAAGATGCGATACGCCAGACCTAACAATGCAGAAGAGCTGAAGGCCACTATCAGAGCAACCTGGGCTCTCATAACACCTGAGCAGTGCCACAGACTGATCGACTCCATGCCACGCTGCATTGCTGCAGTCATTCAGGCAAAAGGAGCCCCAAATAAGTATTGAGTGCTGTACATGCTCATACTTTTCATGTTCATACTTTTCAGTTGGCCAACATTTCTAAAAATCCTTTTTTTGTATTGGTCTTAAGTAATATTCTAATTTTCAGAGATACTGAATTTGGGATTTTCATTAGTTGTCAGTTTTAATCATCACAATAAAATGAAATAAACATTTGAAAGATATCAGTCTGTGTAATGAATGAATATAATATCCAAGTTTCACTTTTTGAATGGAATTACTGAAATAAATCAACTTTTTGATGATATTCTAATTATATGACCAGCACCTGTATACAGTATACATGAATGCTGCATTTGTGTTGGCCCCATCTCCTGTCTCACCTTCCAAACCTATTGACTAAAGCTGTCAATGTTCCTTAGATTGCCATTTTGTCATATTATATGCATCACAGATCCCCTCAAGTCTTGCGATTGTGTGTGTGCATGTGTGTGTGTGTGTGTGTGTGTGTGCACGCGTGCGTGGCTGGTAACTGCTCGATAACCTGCTGACCCAGGTGGATTTTGTGCTCAGTTAAGCAGGGCTGATAGATTCAGTAGGACATAGGTCTGTTTGCCCTTGTTGCGATTTGCTCACCACTGGAGACACACATAAACACACACAAACATACACAAACACACACACACACACACACACACACACACACACACACATTTTGTCAGTAAAGCATGCCAACTGCCAATCATCACTAATCAGTCAGTATGTGATGAAATCCCAAGACGTCTCAATGACAACTGATCACTTCTTTCACGTATTTAACTGCACTAACAAAGTATTTTAATGGTTGGTTTGTCCTAGACACACTTGAAACTGCAGGAGGCACCGGTCCTAACTGTTGACATTTTTATTAAGGTCAAGGTGATTCACGTTTTCTGCTGTCTCACTTTCTTCTAGTTTACTTTGAGTTGAAAATGATTGAGAATGTGGGAGAGGCGTGGCTGCCACATCAGCTTTGTTCGCTAATCCTATGTGCAGACATTTGCAGTTGATGTGCACCATAGGTTAAGTAATGGACAGCAGCTGACTGTGCAGTTGAATGATCGTAGCAGAAGGACACTTCCAGCACTCCCGTCTCGGCAGGCAGTTTGTCAAACTAAAGGCCTTGTACCTCAGATGTCCAGTACGTTCAGGTCCGTTTACAGTGTGAGAACACTTTGTTCAGTTAAAGCAACACACAGTTTGATAGCAGAAAAGAAAATCCACATCTTAAGTTAAACTGGAGCTGTGGAGAAAGTTCAAGAAGATCTTTTCTTTCACATTTCTGCTATTTCTTTTCAGTCTAATTTGTTTTGACACTTCTGCATCCCCCACACTGCCAATGTTCCTTTCATACACAAAATCATACATCACCATATTTGGCCAATCACCTCTCAGCCAGTGTTCCTTGAGCCAATTGGTCCTTCACAGAAATCCTGTCATCATGTCTTTCTGACCTGTTATTGTGCAACTCACACCTCCCCCATCATCACAATGATCTTCAGGATGTTAGCTTTCAGTTTCCACTGCCAGCAGCGTCTAAACTTCCTGTCCTCTCCATAGGCCCGTTAAACATGGCCCATTGTGCTGACTATTATTATATTATAATATACATCTGATGGTAGAAAAGAAGTAAAAATATCTTCCTTTTGGGGCAGTTGTGCAATAATTTTGTACAAATAGTACATACCTAGAAGTACAAGTCCTACAGCATATTACGTTCAAGTGCATTGTGACTGCAGAATGTTGATGATTCTGAAATCAACACCATAGCTGATCCTGTTCAGTAGCTGACTGTTGCATGTATGTCAGAACATAAATTCCTATGCATATGTTGCATTTGGTAAACAGTGAGGAACCCTTTTAAATACATTTCTTGGTGAGTCATGCTCCATTTCTCAGTAAACAATCTGTTATGTGCAGTAATTACAGTACAGAACAGCCACATAAAAGCAAGATCTTTATTATAAATGTCACAGCAACAGCTCGAAAGTAGTGAAAATAGAAACAGCACAGTGTACAGCGACACCGCGGCTATGTGCTTGACTGTCCACAATATAAGCATCAACAAAGCAGATGTGTTACACACCAATCAAACATCAATTCACTAAATGCATGTACTGTAGGACACACTATTGTAAAGCAGCCAACAGATTCAGGTCAAAGCAAAGAACAATGAAGAAGGATTAAAAATAAAACAAGTACAATCTACATAATACACAGAATGAGTTCATATATAGGCTAACCACACAAACACACTAAAGCACGCATTATCATATCAATATTTAATTAATCCTCCCAGTCCCAGTTGTTAAGGCATTTTTGCTTTAGACTGCCAGATTCAAACTGGATAGCATAGTTACAATATTAGCAAGATGTCGTCATGTTTTTTTTCAGTGGTGGGCAGTAATGCATTACTTAGTAACAGTAATGTGATTACTTTATTCTGTAACGATTTACAATTACAAATTGAAATTCAGTAATTACATTACAGTTAAAGCTACATTACTTCGATAATATGTTGGTCAGCTTGTTTGCTGTCTTACCGGAGGTGTAAATGGAGGGTTCAAGTCAATTTGATCAGTGTTCAGTAGACAAACATGGGGCAGAATGTGTCCGCTAGCTTTGCGATGTTGCTGGAGTCGTGGGGAGGCAGCAAGTATTTAGCAGAAAAGAACAAATGCGACTACCACTAACTCCAAAGTTGTCTTATTTTAATGTTGAGCCTTTGTAGCTGGTTTGCTAATGTTAGCCACTTTAAGCCTACATTCAGGAATCATCTGGTTTTGTTTAGAGCTTGGAGCTGCAGTCAGCACGGCTAATGTTAAGCTAGCTGGTGGTCAGTAAATCCTTTCAAAACGTAGATGTGCTGCTTGTTAAATCATAATGTCTTGTTTTCTGTTTCTACACATGAAAACAATATGTGACATGGGGATGTGGAGGATTTGAAGTTGTTCAAAGGCGTGAACAACTGAGGAGATGGGCTGAGTACTAACAGTAGTAAAGTAATATAATTACCTTTTCAATGTGTAATGAATGAATGATTACGAATTTCAAGTAACCTGCGCACACTATATTAACACAATTAACACACATTAACATATTAACACAAACATTAACAGCACAGTGAGGTCAATGTCCCCTGTGACCTTTGTTACATCATGGTGACAACAATCAGCTGTCAGTGATCTCTGATCATGAGACAGCATGTCCCTA